GTGAATTTGTTAATAAAACTTCCACAGCAAATTAACTAAAGTTCAGAAAAATGTGCGAACATAAAAGTTAAGTATGGCTTTGGGTCAGTTTTTTAAGAAGCACTGACTCTGAGCTTCAAATTTGGCAGTACACCAGTTCGATTCCTGGTAATTGCAGTTTCAAAAAATTATTTATGAATAAGTAAATACAAGATTTATTTACAAGCCCACTGATGATGGGTATTTGGCAATACTTGAAACAGCCAAAAATTTAATTACTGAAAATAATATAAAAATGAATTTTTTTTGTTGTATTTCACTACTGTTCGAAAAAAACCTCTTTTTTAATATTCAAACTTTATTAAAACTTTTAGAACTACATTTTCTAACATGCACCGGCAAATATAAATAAAATATATAGTTTGTATGTAGGTATTTTATTATTAATTCCACATGTTATTCTATGATTATTATATCGTTCTGAACAAATGTTAATTTTACTACAAATGTTATAAAAGCTAATACGTGATTTTTCTCTCAGTGTACATTTATATATCCTATCTTTATATATTTTTAATATAAGAAGTAATTTTTCCTACGGCTTGTGCCTCATACATAACAACCCATTAGCGGGTTTTGTTTTGACGTCTCTGCTGCACCTGCACCTCTTCCAGTCTTCTCTAAATCAAGCGCGGTTAGTACTCCCACAACTTGATCTCTGCTTTGGAGACACAATCTACCTCTATGCTTTCTTTCTCTAACTATCGTTTCAAGTACCATTTTTTGCTGAAGCGTCTACATGCATTCTCACGACATGAATAAGCCAGTGAGATTGCCGGAAGTTAATTTGCTAATTATATCAATGTTGTGATAAACTTGTGCTCTAGCTGGTACAACTCGTGGTTTATTCGAATGCGGTAGTTATCCCCAACTCGCAGAGGACCAAAGATCTTTCAAAGAACTTTTCTTTCGAAAACTCCAAGTACTGCTCCATTCTGTGATAGCATCCAAACTTTTGTGCCATGCAAAAACACAAATGGGATGAACGACCTATCAGACGTAAGTTTTATATGCATAATTTTCAGGAATATTTAAAAATACTCACAGAGATGTGAACAATAGTGTTTTACTGTGAACAAGTGCAATTAAGGCTCAACACCAACCACAGCACTCGTATCAGTATAATGCATTGATAAACGCTGTAATTGGAATTCCAAAAAATTCCTTCTGTGCCAAATTGAAACTATATTTTTGTTATATCTTTCCTCCTTGGGATGGCGCGAGGCCCATCTAACACCTCTGAAGTTCTTTGGGCAAAGCACACGGTTGTAAAATGCTACTCCTATCGAATTAAAGTAATGAATACACTGATTCTACAGCCACCAGGATAATCCTATTAATGGGCCAACCATAATTAAACATAACAGCCTAAGCTGTGGAACCTGACATCCGTAGTACCAGATTTATATATAGATATAGATCTATGTCGGGATAGACATAGGGGATATTAATAATGAAATGGTTATCTTATTTTTAATTATTTCCGAAATAGTCCAAAAGGTAAAATTAATGACCTCGATGATTTTTTTTAAGAAAGTAAATAGAAGAAGAATCTTAAA